AAACTAAATCCGATTGAGTATAATTTCACTGTCAACAATATTACCATCAATAAATGTCTTTCTTTTAGAGATCTTGGTGTTCTTTTCGACGCTAAGTTAAACTTTATTGAACATGTCAATACTATTCAAAAAGAAGCATACAGAAATTTGGGTTTTGTCATTCGAAATGGACGCCAATTCTCTGAGCCTAACACTTTAAAAACTATTTTTAACGCTTTTGTACGTAGTAAGCTAGAATATGCGTCCATTGTTTGGAGTCCTGGATATGAAGTATATAGCCAAGCATTAGAAAAAATTCAGCGAAAATTTGTCAAATATTTGTGGTGCAAGCTAGATGGCGTCTACCCTACTCGCAATATTCCGCAAACCATCTTGCTGAATAGATTTGATATCCTTGAATTACGTACTCGCAGGAAATGTTATTCTATCTGCATTCTTTACAAATTATTAAATTTTAAAATTGACTGTCCCGAACTACTTCGTCAACTAATGTTTAATGTTCCTAGTATCAGAACTCGCTCCCCTTTTTATTTCTATTTTCAGACACCCAGGACAAATATTTTAAAATTTTCTCCAATGTATTTTATGTATCAAAATTTTTGTGAATTTCAAAATGATGTTGATTTATTTTCTATTTCAATTAAAGAAATAAAACGCTTAATTGTGGAATGAGTTAATTATCATAAGACAACGTAATTTTTTCTCCTAACGGAGTTTTTTTTTTGCGTTTTCTTATGAAACGTTTATTAAACTATTTTTTGTTTACATATATTTATGCTATTATTAGTATTTAATATTTTGTTATTATTTTTATGATGTAAATTATACTGTAATTGTAATTATTTTTGTGCCCATCCTGTAATTGGTTTTATACTGTTGGATGGTGTAACCCAAATAAATAAATAAATAAATAAATAAATAAATCTCTAGTTGGAAATATTAATGGTCTGATTTTTACCGCCTGATACTTGCCTAGTCTGTAGAGCTTTAAATTGTTTTTAATTTTAAATCTCTTTGGAGACAAGAGAATTTTCTTTATGTGATAAATGTAAGAAAAATACAGTATAATGACAATTGTACATTAATGCCTTGGTTGGAAATGAATTTAGCATTGTTTTTACGTAATTTACATTGATATGCTTTCTTGGTGATGAAAATTGAGAGACGTATTTCATGTCAATCTTTTTTTGCAACTATTCTGAAAAAACTTTTTTTGGAAACTCTAGTTGCTGCTGCTGCTAAATGTGCTCTAATATCTACAAATGGTGTCAAAGGTTTAGCAGTTTAGTCATAAACTCTATAACATTAGCCACAATTTCAATTTTTTATTACACGTCCTTTAAATTTCCTTTTCAATCCCATTTTGCCAATACTCAAATATTAGTTCTGAGAGGAACATAATTTTAAAACAGCTATAAATCACAACGAGACACGAGATCACGACCAAGCAAATAAGAAATAGAGTTTGAGAACTTACTATTTGCTGTTTAAACACCACTTTTCCTGCGTTGGTTGCAAAAGTAGACTACTTTTATGTGGTGTGCAAAGCCTAGAAACTAGAAGACATGCTGTTATATTGGCTTTTTGGTACTCAATCGACGTACATATCATCGATTTTTACCAAGACATGTTGAAATACATTCAAAGTACGTCATGCGCGTCAGCCACTCCTCATTGGTTAAATACTACGTCAGCCTCAAGCTAGCTTGGCGGATCATCATCGACTTCGCTGCTTCATGAACAGTCAAGCACACTACATGCGTTTCTCGTGGTAGAAAGGGACGCTGTGTCCGCCATTATGTAAAATATAAAATAATTCCAGCAACAGGGCTTAAGATAATAAATTTCAGAAAAAAATGTATTTGTGAATAATGTAAAAAGTGTACATTTCGATGTCAACAATGTACTAGTGTTAAATAAAACTGATTTCCATTCGTTTTTAAATAAAATGTGTTCAGTAAGAAGTAGCCTTTGAATTTAAGTGACTACACCACCAGGACCTTATGAATCACACAGGTATTCTAACATTCTTTATTAATACAGTCCACGAATAGTATTGGGTCAGATTGGCCATATTTTATATCTGGCGTGATACATCGATACGCCTGTACATCGATGTGACCACTACAAGACAACTAATTATGGACAAAGAGCATTTATTGACGGTATGTGCCACATTTACAATAAGCTTTACTCCGACTGTGACTTCCCAGTAAACCACAAATAGTCTGCATTCGCTCGGCATGTACGGGAAGCCGAGTACTCGGATTGCCGTTGTCGGGGTTGCTTTTGAGCCGGGAGGCCCGTACCATTTGACGTAACTTGGAAGCATGTGATCCATATTTGGCTTTCCGGACATGGCCGAACGCGGTCCATATTTGGCTTGCTGGGCATGGGAGGCATCCTTACGGGCCGAACCTGTATATAGATATATGAACGCGGCTACAATGTAGTTGGCTGCCGACATTCGGATGGGCGGATATGCGGATGTGTTTATTGGGTTATGTAATACATTGTATGCACTAATGAGGAATTTGAAATTTTTTAAATAATTTTTTGTTTTAATATATTGTTTTATATACCTATGTATGTGATTTTACACAGTCTTGTTTTTTATGTGTTATTTTTATGTAAGTGGAGTTGGTTTCTTTGAGGTTAGGTTGAAAGTGAGTGGGATGATCTCATCGCATTCCACTGCGACCCAGATGGGTCTATTGTGGCTCATGACTAACTTATAGTTCACCGTACAAGCCACACCTTTTGATAAAGGTCATGGTTGAATTGGGTGAGACTTCTAGTCGGTAGGCTCCAGTCGGGTAAATCCGAAGATCTGGAACCTGGTTCTTTCCAGAGATGAGCAGGTAAAATGTGCTCTGCAGACTCGTCCTCCACGCTGTAGAATCGACAGTCCGATGTTTGTTGCAGACCTATCCTTCTCATGTGGTTGCCCAGACGGCAGTGTCCTGTCCTCAGTCCGGTGAGAATGAGTATATCTCTCCTACTCCATTCTCGGATCTGAGCAGAGGCGTTCATGGAAGGTTTGGTTATAAACGCCTTCGAATGGGTTATCCCTGGGGTATCTCTCCAGTTCGTGAGTGTTGTACCTTCCGTCCATTTTGAGATAATTCCTTTGGCAGTGCTTTTTGCAATGCCCAGGAATGGTTCTGGTCCTATGAACACAGATTCGGTTCCTCTTTTAGCAAGTGCGTCGGCTTTTTCGTTGCCCTCCACACCACTGTGTCCCGGAACCCAGATCAAAGTAACTTTGTTCCGGGCACCGAGACACTCTAGGGTATTTATACAGTTCCAAACCAGCTTTGAGTCAACTCGATTGGAGCTCAGGGCCTTAAGGGCTGCCTGACTATCTAAAAAGATCTTTATAGTCTTGATTGCGGGGAGAAAATTGATCAACTCTCTCGCTCCCAATTCTATAGCAATTATTTCTGCTTGGAAGATCGTGGCCAGAGAGCCTAAGTTTATTGATATGTCAACTCTAGGCCTCTGGCCGAAACCTCCCGCTCCTACTCCTTTTTAAGTTTTGGAGCCGTCCGTGTACAACGCATAGTCTGCCTGGAAGAGGGTTTTTTCCCCTTTGCACCAGTTATGACGAGGCACGCAAGTCGCTGTATTCCAGCCAGCTTTGCTCTGGCCGTCCGTTGGAGTCCCTTGTCCCACCAGACGACAGAGCCGTACGTAACCATGGGTTTTACCACTGTTTGATAGATCCAATAGATCAGTTGAGGACTGATCCCCCATGCTTTGCCGCATATCCTTCTGAGTGTCCAGAGGGATAATCTGGCTTTGTTAATGGTTTTATCCAATTGGGGGTTCCAGGTGAGTTTTTTTATCTAGGATGATTCCCAGATATTTCACCTCCTCCGCAAAAGGAATGGTTTCCCCAGCCAAGGTGGGTTGTCGAAGCTTGTCGAGCTTCCTTCTCTTGGTGAAGGGGACAATAACAGTTTTGCGGGGGTTAACAGACATCTGCTCCCTCTCGCACCACCTAATGATCGTTTTAAGGGCTTGTTGAAGGATGTTGGAAATCACCTCTTCGAACTTTCCCCTAATTATGATAACCAGATCGTCCGCATAGCATTGGAAATCCACCCCCTGTCGGGAGAGATCGTCTAGCAGGTTATCCACCAGAATAGTCCACAGTAGGGGTGAAAGTACGCCGCCTTGTGGACATCCTCTGGCAGGCCTGAAAGTGACAGTCTCTCCTTGCAGTAATGAAGTGATGTTCCGGTTTGCCAGCATGCTTTTGATCCAATTACAAGTTAGTTTGTCGATTCCTTTTCTTTCAATAGAAGAGAACAAAGACTGAGGAAGGGCGTTGTTGAACGCGCCTTCTATATCCAGGAACGCACCTAGCGCAATCTCCCCGTGATTTAGGGAATGACCGATTTTGCCTACTAGATTGTGCAGGGCATGATCTGTCGATTTAGATATAAATATGTATATTTTAATGTATACATTGAATAATAATTCTATAGTATACCTATTTGAATAAATAAAACTTGCTGCACAGATTGTACTTCTTCGGCGTACTGTTGTTGGCAAGTCTACGATTTGCCTCAGTGCATACTGCACACTTGCGTCGAATGCTACGAAATTTACTGTCTACTGTAATTTATTGTATAAATTTGAGAAATACAATCTACTGAGAACATAATTTGGTAGGTAATAAAAAAAAACAGTACTTTGAGCTATTTTCAGCGAGTATTTAAAAAGTGACTTTAAGATATTTGAACAGTTTTTGAAAATCCCTGACTATAAAAAGAGAATTTTTAAATTTACAGACAATACCTTATCAAAAGGTAAATTTACCTTAAATGACGGGTAAATTTGAAAATATACTTTAAACCCTTTAATTAAATAATGTAATTGAATGAACAAATATTTCATTCTTGTAATTCTGGATTTTTTTAAGGAAACAGGTTTAAACATCAAAACATTTTTGAACAATATGGACTACTCCTAAAATTAAAGATATTTCAAATTTAATCAATAGAAACAATTTTATTTGAAAATTGAATGAGTCCATATTCCCCCTTTTCCATCCATTTTTCATCTTTGGCTGAAAGTTCTTCTGCTATGCCCTTACGAATACCACAAACAATATCAGCTTTAATGGTTCTCATGATGCATAAATTTGTGGGGTTAAAATTTTGAAGGCCTTGATCGACAGGCGTTGTGGGGTCCCAATTTAGTTCTCCAAATAATTTTCTATAATTCAAATCTCCTTTGAAAAACACAGCTTTCGCTTGAGCTAACTGTTTATACAAATCCGGATCTACTTTGGGCATATGAGTGTAGTCGAATGGTAGAGTCCAAAAATCAGAGATATGTATAGTCCATTTTTTATTAGAAATGTGATCAGCCCACCTGTGACCGATCTTTTTGAGATTTTCATTTGAACTGTTCTTTAATTGATCTAACATCCAAAAAAAGTCATGTTTCATAACATCGGAGATAAACCATGGTATGGCTTTTACATAGAGTCGAACTAATTTTGCCATTTTACATGTAATTATATAGTCAGCTAAGCAAAGATCTGTAAAAACTTCATAACCTGCGTTATCAAATACAATATCTAAAATAAAAAAGTAATATTAAATTTCTGGTATACTTAATTAATACTAAAATTATAAGGATATATTTATTATTTTATTACTTGCCTATTATTTCAGATGATGATTCACTTATCATAAGATTCCATATTTTTTCAGATTCATCACATAGTATAAAAGGATTCATTACTTCTGTATCAAAAAGTGAATTATCATCTCCTACTTTGCCTAATGATAATGACAAATCACATTTATTACCCCACAAATTCAACTAAAACAAAAAAAATGATAATAGAAACTAGATTTATTTTAGTGGGTAGTAATGTATTAATTATGTAAATGTATTTTTAAAGTTCTGTATTGGTACAATTTTAAGAATTTAAACACACTTAAAATTGAGAAATAATAGTATGATTTAGAAGTTAAGGGCGTGCGCCCAATGGGCACCCGATCACGAGCCAGGTCGTCGCTACCAAGACATATTTGCAACAGTGATTGCGTTTAATATCAGGCAACTAATTTTCTTAATTTCAAAATAAATATAGAGCAAGTAGCAGTTTCCTTCTATTTCTATCCTTCTATTTTCTTCTCACCTAACACTATGTATCTTATTAGTCGCAACTAATAGTTCTAGTGGTCGCGACGGCCAGCTGGTCCAGTACGCGCACCCCTTAGGCTTGGACAAAAAATATAATAAAAGTTTAATATGTTCATAAATTCTGCTAGCATGTCCATAATTATTATGCATATCTGAAATAGCTATTTGTGTATTAAGAGCGAAAAGTGATACTCTGCCGCTTCAGGTAGAAAGTTGCCCACGCGACGTGTAGCAGAGCGCGAAAATCTGTCGATAGGAGCAACAACGATCTTTTCGCTCAAAATGCACACAAGATTTTTTTCTACGATCATACATTTTTAAGAAATATATATAAAAACTGAAAATTTGTCGTAAGTAGTGTATAATGTGTTGCCTATACCTAGGATAAACATGAAAAAAGCAGTTGATATTCAAAGTCCATGTTAACTTGGATAATATAACAAAAAAACATGTAACTGCTTACAAATAACTTGAAAATCATTTATTTAAAATAAATATTATTGTATTAGAGCTAATTTAAATTAGGCGAGCAACAAAGCCTACTTTAGATATAGTCCAATTAAATAACGAAAAAAAGCCTCTCGAGCTTACATTAATTTGTAATTGGATGAAACAAAGTAGACCTTATGTATTTTGATGTGATCTTTCCGAAAAAAAGCAAAAAAATATGTAGCTGTTCTTTTTTTTAAATTAGGAAAAACCGGGTTTTCCGGAATTTTCCATGGTAAAAATGCTAATTATCTGGCCAAGTTTCATTCCGAAAGTAAAAATAAATGCACCAATCGAAAGAGGAGGCAAAAATAGGAGGTAAATTCATTGCACAGGTAGTTTTAATGGCGAATTTCTCGCCGCCAGTGCTTTTACCAAAAAATTGTTATTTCGTTTCTTTGATCAGAACCATGGACATGAAATTTGCGATGAATTTGTGGCGAAATTATAAATGTTAGACATATGTGCCCATGAGAGAAGTTGCGTATTTGTTTGTTGGCTCTCAAATAAAATAAGTCCTGCGGCGAAATCTGCCATAATTTTTCGGGAATTCGCAGGAAACCGGAAGGCGTAGTTTTTTCTTAATTTTTTTTCCATATGATTTACTCCGGGTTTTCCGAAAACATCTAACAAAAAAATATATAATATATACACAAAAGGTATACTTTAAAAATGTTAGGAAGTTAATCCTAAGCTTGAGTGTAAGTTCCAACTTGGTTGATAAGCTTGTTTTTTGTTCTCTAACATCTGGTTTTTAGTCATTTACAAGAAAACTTGAAATTGGAGAAGATATATATGCATGACAAAAATACGTTTTTTCTAGTTACGTTCCGAATGAGACGGGTTGGGTGGCGAAATCTGCAATACTTCTTGATTTCTCGTACTTTTTTCTTAAATAACTCGAAAACTAATTATCTGAATGGAAAACTCTTTCCATCAGATGAAAGAGAAAAAAAAAGACACGAAAAACTGTGGCATATACATTTTTTCTAGCATCCACTGTTTTCTGAGCGCAAGTATGCAAAGATCGGTAATTCTCGCGAGAATTGAAGCTACTCGAATTTTCTCGAGAAAATGGGCGATTCAATTTGTAATAATATGACCGTTTGAAGTTTAAACTTGTCGGATAGCGAACGCCGAGACCATGAGTATCCTTGATGCGACGTGCGGCTAATTTTGCGGTAATTCTATATTTTGCACAAAACTCAAGAAACGTCTTATAACAAGTCAGTAAAATACAAATTAATAAATTTTAAGCCTAATAAATTTAGGTATGTAAGAAATTTAAAACTGGAAATCGCAAAAAAATCAAATTACAGAAATGCAGTGTATACACGAGTTGTGGATCCCGCGGAGCGCATGTAATTGGACTTTTGTCGGGAGAATTCTACAACTTAGAAGAACCATACACACTTTAAACTTTGTATACACATTCAGAAGACATGAAATTTGGGTTTGCTCAATTTTCAGACCAAAAAACTGAAAATGGTCAATTTTAGGCAACTTTTCTCAAAAATCGTGTTTGTTGGTCGTCACTCAATGAACAGTGGTCAAAAAAATAGATAAAATATTTTTGCAGAATTTTCCGTAATGTAATCGTATTCTAGACATAATAAAGTACTCAAAAAAAAAAGTTTTGAGCCATTGGGTGTATTTATGGCATTTTTGTGCCACTTCAAACTTTCGAAAAAAAAATTAGGGAAAAAAAAATTGTTTAATTGTTTGATGTCTTGGCCAATTATAGTTTGATTTTGGTGCAATTCACACACGCATAAGATTTTACATTCAAGAGTAAGCTCTGTAAGTGGCATTAAAAAAATTCAAATGGTTTGGCCGTTATAGGCAAACAATTAAATTAGGCCCGCGGTATACTTTGTCCTTCCGCCATATGCCCAATTTTGGGATTTCTCTTGCCCCCTTCTGGGAATCAATAGTCACATCCCTTATAAGTTCAAAACGCATTTTTGTTTTTTCAAATATCTTAATTTTTACCAAAGTTATGAAGAATTTAGTGTTTGAACATTTAACAAATTCAATTTTTCGACCTTCGCCGCCTCAAAATACTAAACAAATTTCAATCGTCCATACCGCGAGAACGGTGCATCGGATAAAAATTTTTCAAGAGACATGAAAATTAGCATTTTTCCTAAGCTTTCAAATGTCCTAAACTGCGTTTTGAAAATATTGATTTATTTCCGACATGCGCCTGCGCAAAATTGACAAAATCCAAAATTTCGACACTTTCGAAAAACAGCTACATTTTGTTTTGCCTTTTTTCGAAAAGATCACCTCAAAATACATAGAATCAATTTTGTTTCATCTAATTAGAATTTAATGTAAGCTCAAAACCCGTAATTTAATTCGATTAATAGTGATCGTAGAAAAACAATATTTATCTGGTTGATTGTACTGTCCAACTCGAAAGAATAAATTATAGATAATTTCAATATAAGCTGTTCATTATTGGTAATATTCGAGACAGTGTTGTCCAGCTAATTATTTACAAGATCTATATAATGCAATGGTTATTTCAATATTTCCATACACTTTGTAAAATATCGCACTCTATTTGAAACTGGAACAGTTCGTGAAATTTATTGATTTATCTTTCAACTGACAGAATATTCATTAAACTAAATAAGTCTTCTGGCGGCGATATCCTTGAACTACAATCTAGTTATAAAAATGAACTCAAATCTGATTATTTTAATGCAAAATCCAAATTATATAGTTATCACATATCCATTGGCATCAGTATTTGTACAGAATATACTAAAATACATGTAACAGGTTATTGTATAGTTGAATTTATAAATTAAGATAATTTAAATTATGCTGCAATAATCAGGATGATAAATTTATTGTATTTTCAATGATTCATTTCTCACCTCGTTTCTCACACTGTCTCACAACAACTTAGCTGATACTTTCAACTATGTCAACTAATTTGAAAACCTACAATATCATTTATTTCTTAAAACGAATTGGAAAGGCCAGGTTCAATATCTTTACATGCATTTTATTCGTGCCAATTTTTATGTAAACCCAACCTCACAATATGCTGTCCAACTATCAATTTTTAAACATACCTTCAATAACTGAATAAATTCTGTTTTCTCTGCCTCGTGGTCTAGAAGCCGAATTAAATATTCTCCCATTTTTTCTATTAATGGTAAGGAAGATGCAAAAGATTGTTGTTTCTGATTTTCAAATGGATCAAAGTTTTTTAGACAATATCTAGAATTAAATTAAATTTTGAAATATATAAGAAACTACAAAAAAAAACAATATTACTTTGTCTGAAATGATTGCCAAATTCTTCTATACATGTAACATTCTGTTAACAGCCAAATAGTGTGGAAATGAGTGGCATGGCCTTCAAGTGTTTCTTGTTTTTGTATATATTCATTGTAAATTTTTACATCTGGTGGTGATGTACCTAATAACTTGTCTTCTATTAACAGTTTTAATGGTTTGTTAGTTTGAACTTCATATTTAAATTGAGATATTTCTCCAATTATTTGTTTCAATTCTTCTTGAGTCCCCTATCGATCAGATAAAATAATTATAAATATGACAAAAATAATTTTAAACCAAATTAAGACATCAATTTTAGTTTTCAGATAGTTATACAGTGTGTTTACTTAAGTGGGGAAAAAATTATTCATCATACATGGTCTAAAACCTAAAATGCAACCCCATCTATATCAAATTTAAGAGATTTGTCAAAAATATTAATTTTGTGCAAGAAAGTACTTAGGTACCTTTATTTTTTTCAATATCGAAAAGTTAATTAGAATTAAAAACGTTCTAATATGCAATTATATCTATCTACCCTGGAAAGTAAGATTGAATTATTTTGTTGATTTCTCTCTAAAACTGCCTTGTAAATATTTCTATACATTTTTTTTTTCAGGGTAAATGGATGTAATTGCATACTAGAACGTAGTTTTCAATTATCAACTTTTCTTGATAACAATCGAAAATTGTGGCGTAGTAGTATTAAAAAAAAAACAAACAAAAATAAGAATAGTCGAGTTAAGACAGATCATAATATTCTAAATAATAAACAAAAATAAATAGAATTTATAACATTTAAAAAATAACGGACCAAAAACACTGTCACTTTTGTAAATAAAAACACATGTAATACTAAATATTCTAGTTAAAACTAAATGCTTTTACAAAATAATTCTGCTATTCCTGATGGTCTTAAATTTGTCTATTACAGATTAAAAATCAATATTAGACGCATAGTCCTGTAACCTACCACACCCAGGTATCTTAATAATTTATTTATTCCATTTATTAAATATGATATTGCATTCTTATTAATTCAAAATCCTTCATTTAACGAAAAATCTCCCAGATAATTAAATCTTATTTACACCTAATAAATATCTATTACCACGTCTGTAAAAAATCCAAATTTCATTAAGACCGATTTCGATAATATTTCGATACACAAAGCTCTCAAGGCATATAATAAATCAGCCACCCCCTTTGTACCCACATTCGTATTTCGCTGGGAACTAAGACACACAGAGACGTCACAAAAGCCATTAAATTTAGTATAAGAAGTCAGACCCAAATGAGCTCGTATTCATTCATTTTTTATTATTTGATGTGCAAGCATTCATTTTATTATTTTAGGTACATTGAAGCAATCACTTTATTTGTATCCAGTTATATAGTCTGTACCTTTCCTAAAACGCTCTTCCTAAACGACGTCTATCCTACAATACCTCCTATCCCCGAAGGTGTCAACGTCTCGACGCCCAACGTCCTGCCGTCCTACTTCCCTACCTTTCTGCGCTATCACTTCTAACACCACTTTACTAGTTCCTACCATTATATTCATCCCGACGCTCAACGTCCAGACGCCCTACTTTTCTACCTATCTACGTCTCGAACGCTGTCACATTCTGCACCATCTAAGTATTTTCTACCTTACATTCATTCCGACGCCTAACGTCCCATCGCTCTACTTCTCGACGCTTGCCGCCCCTAAATATTTCCTTCATAATATCCTTGTCGACACCCTTCGACACGTCCCGCACCACCTAAATATTTCTACCGTATATCTGTCCCAATGCAGTACCGTATTAAATACCTTCTTCTCCATCACGACGCTAGGCGCTTCGACGCAAGGCGGCTCAACGCTGCAACGTACCTAAATCGACGCCGTCACAACGCTAGATGAATTTAGTACATAATCTAATATCTGTATTTTCAATGGTGAGTCAAAAGTTTTATGTAACTTTCTTTGAGATACCACCGGGGTCGTATAGAGGGCCTGACATTTGCTTAAAAATATCAATGTAACCAATAAACCATATGGCCTCCAGTCGTTTACCCCGAAAGACAGTTAGGTTAGTCATCTCTTTTTTGGGTGGATTTAAGTTATTTCAATAGAAAATATAAAAATCAATATTAAGAAATATACAGGGTTGTATTAAGTTATTTCAATAGAAATTATAATAATCAATATAAAAAATATACATGGTTGTATTAAGTTAATTCAAAAGATTTTATGTATGTTGAAATTACACGAGCGTTAATCATTTGACTCGCATTTGTACTTGAATTTTCCCCAGATGAGATGTTTTCCATAATCTCTATTATGGCGGGGAGGTTGTCAAATATGGAATTAACAACTCTAGTGTGACTTGCCCAATAAGTCAATGACAGTTTTTTTATACCGATGCCAAAAACTACTTTTTGGCATCGGTAACACAATCAACCCGACTCAAACGCCGCCACTGCCCCGTCACGCATTGCTTTTGAAGATATCATTCGTTATGATTTACGACCTCATAAAATAAAAGTAGTTCTTTTACTTTAACTTTGGACTAAATAAATAAATAAATATAACATTTTAGTTTAAAATAATATTTGAGGCAGTTTAAAATAATATTTGAGGCATTTCAAATACGGTGTTTGTTTTTTAAAAATATATTTCCAAATAATTTTCAATTTGAATAAATGCTACAGGGTGTAATAAAAGTACCTGTTTATTGTCTATATAGGCACTAAGCGCCAAATGGCAAGCGCCCTCCTGGCCCACACCTGGCTACGCCACTGTTTTTGTTATTGTCAAAAGTAAAGGTGCACAAAATTCATATTTTTTGAGAAATCTCGTATACAACTGGACAAAATTGTAATTTGATGGTTTTATTTTGGATTTTAGACCATGCAGAACTTTTTATAAAAAATACATTTTTTCTGCGAAGTTATAAAGAAAAACAAAGTTTTCAATAAGCTATAATATTAATAAGTGTCTACACATTAAATTTAACTAACCTAATGTAAGATGAAAAATATTAATCCCTTTAAAATATTTGGATCAAATATTGCGAACTTGCATTTGAATGTTCATTTTCAGATTAATTTTTTTTAATATTGAAAATTCCATCAAAATTAATTTGATAATTAAATTATTATGCAGCACATTTTTAATATTGTAATGAGAAATACCTAGTTAGAAATAAAATTAAATTAAAAAATGTAATAATAACTACCTAATATATTTATCCGTGGAGTAAATACTAACTTTGTAATTGATTTTAAACTATACATAATGAACTATTAATAAATTTACTCATGCTGTCATAAAAAAATAAGGAACTGGAAGAAATATTTTTATTTCCTGAGTGAAATTCTCTCTCTGCTCTGGTTTGTGACATATCTCATAAATAAAATTATAATCACCTCATAAAATTTACTCAATTTTTATGCAATAAATAAAGACTGAAATAGGTACAGTAAGCGCCAAATCTAAAGAACCAGCGCAAATGCTCAAATTCGTTTACTTAAAAATCGCCACGCCCATTCACAATTTGAACCTTGTCCTTGCTTACGGTCAGTAGCTTAACGACTAGATCATTGTTGGTTTTTTGTTTCTGTGTTTTGGTTAAAGTGACTGGTTTTATTTTTGATAATGTCTTCTATTATGGGTGAAAAAAAGCGCAGATCTGTTATTAACGGACAAAGTCGTGAAGTAATATATAATGTTTTTAAATATTTTGACGCAACAAAAAATGAAGGAGTAACTTTAGATGATATCAAACTTCAAACTGCACAAGCAACAGGTAAACATAATCTGTAGTTTATTTGCAATTAAACTTGCGTAGTTTTCCATATTTTTTTTTGTATTTTACACACATATCTATGCATTTTATTTTTGATTAATATTTTATATTTAAATTTTTAAAAGGTAAACAGTCAATGGAAACAACTGGAAAAATTACATTTTCCACACCTAGGAAAAACGTCAAAAAATCAACCGCTACGAATCTCTCTGAATATCAATTGAGGGACATTCGAAGAATAATTTACGATTTTCATATAACAGAAAAGTCTCATGTTACTGTTAAAAGGTTAAATAATAAAATTAAGGAAGATTTAGATATCCACATATCAGAAACTTCATTAGGAAGAGTCCTTAAAAAATTACAATTTAAATGGAGAAAAACACAAAATAATCGTATAAAGTTTTGGTGAAAAAAATGAAAATAAGAACTTTAAGAGTAAAATATTTGAGACAGATAAAATATTTTAGAAGTCAAAATAGACCAATCGTTTATTTAGATGAAACATATATATATATATATACACAGCAGACATACTTCTTCCAATAATTGGACAGACGATTCAACAAAAGGTTTGTTTTCTGTTATTTCTAAAGGCCAAAGGCTTATTATAGTTCAAGGTGGGGAGAAATGGGTTTTATCAAAAATAATTTGTTGATATTCAAATCAGGGACCAAGTCTGGAGATTATCATTCCGAAATGAATTCGGAAAATTACGGCAAATGGTTAAGAGAGAAGTTAAAACCTAATCTTCCACCAAATTCAGTAATTGTTTGTGATAATGCTAGTTATTACAATGTACAAACAAATCGAGCACCTAGTTCCAATTCTTTGAAGAATGATATGATCGAATGGTTGACAAAATACAACATACCTTTTAATCCAACAAGTTTGAAACCAGAGTTATATGAACTGATTAAATCTCATAAGGACCGACATGTAACATATGCATTTGATGAGTTGTGTCGAAAATACGGCCACACCGCTTTACGGTTACCCCATATCACTCCGACTTGAACCCTATCGAATTGATTTGGACAACTGTTAAGAATAATCAGTCAAAGGAATGTTACCTTTAAATTAGAAGACGTAAAACAATTAGCAGAATTAGAATTTAACAAAATCGGTATGGAGGAATGGAAAAAGAGATGCGATCATGTTATAAAGGTAGAAGATAAATATTTTGAAAGAGAAATATAATCTGATTTATGTTCGGAAATTAATCCTATCGTGAGAATTTCAGTGACGACAGTGACGAGTCTTCTTCCAACGAAGAATCTGACGAAGACATATGAACATTATTTATTTGTGATTTACTGTTTACGTTGTTTGTATTTACTTATAGGCTATATAAGTGGTATTTAATACCATTTCATTTTAATTTCTTGATAGTTTCGGCCTTTACTTGATGAAAATCCATATTATTAAAATGAGAAAAACCAAACATGAGAGAT